ATTCGGACATCTTGCCTCGGGGCAATGTTGATGTTTTATCTCCACACCTAACACAAGCCTGGAGGAGTTCTGCTGTGTGGTGGAGCTGCTAATGCTAACAGTTAGTGATGTGTCCGATGTGTCGAGGCTTCAAAGCGTGTGTTGGCTATCCAGGAAGATTTTTTGTGAAGTGCGCATCGAGGCTTGTGTTGATTACATAAGCAGTGGCATTCAAGGCCTCAATGGCAGTCTGTACCACGTGACCGATTCAGGAACTGGCTCGCCAGTTTGCGTTGGATTCTAAATAAAAGGGGCAGCCAAACACTGCTGATTCCCCCGTCACGCTGTGCTGTGGAAACCCTATGTCCTGTTAGTTTCCTTTCTCTTTTGGACCAGACAGTATATTAAAAGGACAGTTTAAGTCTATGTTAAGAATATACTGCCGTCACAAGCATTTATTTTTTCTGTTTAAAGGTTGACAGTTTTCCTTTAATCGTCCACTTGATGGCACAATAGAGCCAATGAATCATCACGGTGCCTCGAATCAAGAGTCAACCAGTTGGATGGAAAGCTTCAGCTCATCATGAGGCTTCATCTCGCCATCACTACTAACAGTTAGCTTAAACTAGTCGATACATTCTCTGCTGTTTCCTGGACGCTGAAATGACAACATCCTTCCCCATTGCGAGTCGAGATGAGAATGTTAATTGTCAGTGTGACATAGATCTGTCAGGATTGTCAAAACCTAGAGTTTCACCGTCTATTTTCTATCAGAAGCTAATGCAGGAGATAGGTGTAGGAGACTATTTTCATGCTCAGCTTGCATGAAAAAAATCAGAGTGACTTATTATAATCAGAAATATGACTTAAAAATGTTTTACTGTGTTCCACAGCTTTAATAAAAACTCCAGTGAGATCACTGGAAAACGCATTACCTGCCAAGTTTACTAGCATTTTTCTTCATTGACTCCTGTCTCTTGCTAATTTAATTGATTTTGGAGCCACTATTATGTGAAACGTCCTTTCAATCCTTAGGACTCATAAATGTCGCATTAAAAACATATTCAGGGGTGTTTCACATCAAAGCAAAGATGCTAACAGTGCCTCTGCTAGCCAAAGTCTTAGTCACTATTTACACTGATTTACATTTCTGCCTTGGCTGGAGACGCGTGTGTATATATGTCAGCTCTGTAGCATGAGAGAAAACCATAAAACAACCAGCTCCCTCCCATCTCTTCCTAAATGAATGAGTTCAGAGAAAAACTAAGTTGCTCTTAAAATGCTTAGCTTTGACCTTTCCTTCCTCACACCAACTCGGCCAACTCGTAAACTGCGCTCTGTTGTTAATTAAATCATTTAAATGGATTAATAGGCCAGTGGGGCTCCAGACCCGACAACATCTGATGAGAATTATACAGGCGTGTGTTTTGGCACGATGACCCTGATGCCCTTTTCCTTGACTCTCACTTTGGGGATTTGTCTCTTCTTGTTTCTTCTGTTGTACTTATTGGATTTCAAACACTAGCTTAAAATGTTCTCATGTTCTTTTCCACAGAAACCTCTTTTTGTGTCCTCTGTTAGTTATTTAATGCTGCATTAAAAACAAGTGAGCAGAAAAACTGAAAGAAAACCTAACCAGTAAGTTTTGAATGTGCAGACTAGGGGTTGTATGAACTAGTCGACTTCACTGCTCTGTAGTGACTTGTTATGCCTTTCATAGACTAGTCGCTGTCACGTGATAATGACCGACAAGATGCAGTCCTCGGAAAAGACAGCAGGTGACGAGCCCCTGTGCGTTGGGAGGCGACGCGCTGTGCCAGAGCGTCGGTATCCGACGCCCACCGTAAAACGGACATTTGATCGAATTGTGACCATTACCCTCTTGCAGTTTAACCTTCCCCTCACCCCCATCCTACTCTTAACCAGCTTGCACATGCAAAGTTCTGATCGTTGACGCGCTCCAGACATCTGCGTCCTGAGCACGGCCACAGTAACATTATCAAATCAGGTAACGCCACCTCAAAAGCAAATTTAACACGTGATCGTTCATGTTGCGTTTCGCTGCTGTGGAGCGGAGTGCATCACCTGTTTTGTCCTCGGGTGACACACCTCACCGGTGTGGCCTGCGCTCGGCGCGCACTCCGCTGTATTTGAGGTCGGTAGATCTTTTAGAACTGCAGTTCAAAGGTTGTTATAAGGTGAATATATATGAACCCAGGTAGCAGTTTTTCTTTAGGATTGAGAGGAGATGCAGGAAGATAATAAACAGAGACAGGACGGAAAATAGTCAAATAAAAACAAGTTAGTTTTTGTACCTGCTGGTTGCAACAAACAGACACCATTGAAGGTAATCAGAAGTGAGGAACAGAAAATGAAATAATTATTTTAATGTTTAGAGCAGCAGGAACTCTGAGAGGCTGCAGGCGCATCAGTGAGTTTGCGTCCGCTGCGCAGGGGGAGGGGGGAGAGGGCTGAAGCAGAAACTACCGTTGTTAAAAGAGATGTTTAACTGAGAAAATGTGGGCGCAATTTTAACCATCAAAAACTCCAGCGACCCCCCCCCCCCCCACACCCCCCGACGTGTATGACAACATCAACGACTAGTCAAAGTCGACTCGATTTTCATTACTTGACGGTCAACTTTAAAAAAAATTTAAGTCATGCAGCCCTTAGTGCAGATGTCATTATTGATCATAATTCAGTGATTGTGTCCTCAAAGGCCAGCGCTCATCCTTAGAGTCTTCTCACATGTCCCCTCTTTGTAAGATGGCTGAGCCATCTGAATGGCTGAGGTTTAGCAGCAGTTAACCTTTTGTAAACACAGACGAGCAGACACACTCACAGACCAGCCGCTGCATCTGTTAGCTGCTCCGCTCTCCAACAACCACAGACGGCATTAATCCTCTGTGAGTCTGGTGATTGCCCATTCAGTAGAATAACACATTAACCCCCTAACCTTACAATCACATGACAAAGACCACCTGCATCAAGCTGTGACTTTACATTGTGAAACTTGGGAGATTTAACGAACCAAGAAATTAACAATCAGAAGACAAATTTTATGTAATTAGCAAACTGGCAGGAGACTTAACTTGATTTTCCACTGGGATGAATGAACTCGGGGCAACGCAGTCAAGCAGAAGAAAATAACCACATGGTGAAAACCACCACAACCAACTTCAAGAACTTTTCTTTCTTTGTTCTTTAAAGGTTTAACGAGAGATAATTTACCAAAGAAAAAGTGCTGCTTTCCCCTGAGCAAGAATATTTACAATGTTTCTAGAAGGAAATCTATGGAAAATAATATTTTCTCATCTCTAACAAATCATCTGAACAACCTAGAATATAAACATTGGACATGTTTTCAAACACTACATGAAGCCGTGTTTTTAACTACACAACATTAAACTGAACAAAGCGTTTTGCCTATTGAGAGTTTTAGAAGAGATGATGACTAAAATAAAAAGAAAAGATGAGAGAAAAACAGGCTCATGTTTTGTTTAAGATCTGGAAAAGACAAGATGCGCATGATTAAATTCTGCACTTTGACTTTCCTAAGTTTTTCTGTATGACAGATAAGAGGTACTTTTGCTTTTGTATTTTAAATAATTAAGCTAAAATTAACATAAAGAGATGTATTACATACAGCTGGTTATTGTTAAGCACTGTGAGTGTGCTGCTACCATAAATCCTCGAACATTTGCACCTAAAAGCCTCTCTGGAAGAAAATGAAAGTCTTGGTCCTTAAACAAATATGTGTAAAAAATTAAGTGGGAAGTGAAGTAACAACTAAGTCACAGCATTAGGTTTAAAATGACAGCATCGCTCCATAGCTGTGATTTAAACAAGGAAACCAATTATGACAAGAAGTAGAGAGTCAAAGGTGAGCCACCACAAACATGGTTTTAAACACACACACAAGCACTTCAGTGTCTCACTTGCTCAGTCCTTTCAGCTCATTAATGGGTTTGTTGATAGTGATCTGTTCTGTAGACATCTTATCCTGATTTAAAGAGACAGTCTGATTATTTAACATCTACATTCAATAAACGCAGATGTAGCTGGAGGCCATAATTCTGGAGTGAAGGGCTGAGATACTAAAATGAGACGTCGCACCTTTCTGTTTTGGTCCATAAAGAACAAATAAACTGACTACTGACTAGGACTGGACGATATAGAAAAAAAAGTATATCAATTTTTTTATATTGATCGATATTGATACTTGTTAAAAAATATTTTTTAAATTGTAGAAAATTTATTTTACATGCAGCCCTGGCCATTTTATTATCATTCAGATACAAAGGTTCTGATATACATCAACTTTACACCATCATCACATTCCATCACATCTCATTATTAATTACTTGTCATGTATTATAATTAGTCTAGAAAATAAAGTTCATTTTTAATTATATACTTGACTGTCTGAATTAATACGAAGTGTGTTTATGGTCCCTGAATAAGCACAGAATCCTAAATTATTCTTGTTAAACATTCAAACATCAATCAGGTCGATATTCTATATTTTTATAGAATCATGACATCTTAATGGTCATAATTTAACCCCCCCAATTTCACTACAAAACTACGTTACAGTATTTTTATTTTTTCTCCGCCTCTTCTCGCTGAGACCTCTTGCTGCCTCATGCTCTGTTTCGGCATGAGAGGGGAGGGCCTGGTGAAGTAGCGTGCCAAGTCTGTGGTTTGATTGGTTAGGAGTAAGTAGTGAGTCTAGTATGCTGCTACCTGATAGGTTACAATGAAAAAAGGTTATAATGAAAAAAGGAAACTTTTTAATCAAAGTTTTATCGACCCTTTTCTTTCTATCGCACCACATGTCTATCCATAGATATATTGAACTACTGAATTATCGTCCAGCCCTACTACTGACTACTTGTTTCTTAAACATAATACAAAACATTCTCTTATACTACCAAAAGACAGAAATGCCGTGTAAAATAGACAGTGATATGGTTTTATCAGTGAAGTAAAACTGAAGCAACTCTGGTGAAAAGACTAACCTGTGCATTCATGCTTCAGACCCTTTCCGTAGTATCCTTTCTCACAGATGCAGTCGTACTGTCCGGTGTGAGTGCCACACTTACAGCTGGCCATCACGTCACAACAGTCTCTGCCCGCATCGCACAGAGATGAGCAGCGTGACAAATCGTCTTGGATGTAGCTACCTGTTGGCAAGTCTGGGGATGAAAAACAAACACGAATAAATTCTGACACACAACCATAGGAATTAGATGGTTAAAATGTTTTTGGCACAATTTCAGCATCCCATGAAAAACCTTACAGTTTGAACATGTTCTTTGAGCCTTCTATATAGCTTTTAAGACTGTTGGGGCTCAAAATGGCCCAAGAGCCCTGATGAATGTCCAAATACATCCCCATAATAAAGGGCTGCGATGGGAAGACTGGTTTGCCCCGCCCACTCAGCCAGGACTTGCATATTAAATGAGCTGAGTGCTGGTGGGGATGAGCTACGATGTGGCCACTGCTGCCCTGCGGCGCACTGACAGAGGTGAGGTCTGCCGAACACTGGCACCACCGGTCCCTCTGACCACCACCAGCAGGCAAGGTGGGTTAACTGTCTTGCCCAAGGACACAACAGCAGCCATCTCTGGTCAGAGCTGGGAACGAACTTGCAACCTTCCGATTAATGGACAACCCGCTCTACCTCTTGAGCTACTGCTGGTCTTTGATTTTGTTTCTCTCATCTAACAAAAACATTATCAGTAGCTTGGGCTAGCACTATTCTGCATTTAGCATTACAGAGGGGGCTAGTGCCCATCTCCAGCTGTCTTTGGGCAAACAGGCGTGGTACACCCTGGACAGATTGCTAGTCCATCACAGGGCAACACAGATACACAGGACAAACAACTCTGGGCAACCATTACTACATTATTAATTTGTGCATGAAAGCAGGTCAAAAATGGAAGAGACTTTTTGCTGTGGTACATTCGAAACCCCAATCTGCCAATATTCAACAGTAACAAGATAAAATCAGTTTTGACTTCTAGGGCCCCTTTAAAGAAAAGAGCTTTAAAGGGCAAAGTCCAACAACTGGTAATGGTATGATTATTGTGTGTTTTCAAAGTAAAAAATAAAAAAACATGATTCAGAGACAAAGACAAGTCTTAGTAGAAGAAAAGCTGATAGAACCTAATGAATCAAACCCAACACTATCCAAAGGTTATAAAAGTACTAAACTTTCTTTTAAAACAGACACAGTATTCTCTTAAAATGAACTTTTGTTTTGTAAAACTTGCTCCTGAGCAAACAATTCTCAATACAATGTCCTAGGATAAAAAAGACGATGTGGCAGTGCTGTGGGCAGCTATATTGGGACAGTAACTTGGATTTGAGCCTGGGGGCAAAAACTGCCTTTGATTCTGCTGCCATGACCGAGACATAAAACCTGATTTACTTCTAGAAACCACTTTTCATAATTTGTTTATTGCATCTGCAGAAAGGCTGAGTGGGCCACGTCTCTGGCATGATTTTGTAATTTATGTGGCTTCATGTCCTAAAACATGAATGTTTTTGCATAAAAAGACGGGAGGGTTCAGCTGATAGGATGGTGCCTATTGCCTTTAAGTTTCGCAGCTTTTTCCTGCAGTGACCTCTGTTCTCAATTAGTGAATGTACAGATCCTGTAACTCCCAGATTATATAAGTAACCTAAAGCTCACAGCAGACTAAGAACTGCACTTAACTGAGATGGTTTATGTTGACATCTTAGGTGAAAAATACGTCCCTTTACCAAACTGTGGGGAGTCGTCATCTACTGTGAGAAAATGACCTTACTTTGTTTAAATATGGAAATGTGAGTGCTTGAGAAGTGCGTGTTGTCAGGTTCTGTATAAAATATTATCTGCTTCCTTTTAAGTAAGTACTGAATCTTAACAGGATCAAAGGCGGTGAACTTAAAAATACTGGTTCAGGCCAAGACAATGATGGGAGAATCAAAGCTTCAAAGACCCACAGAAAGGCATGTTAACCAACTTCTTTTTTCAACAATCAAATATAGATTATCTTTTTAAATAACATTTTTAAAAATGAAAAAGTTGACTTAGACCAGAGTTTTTCAGATTAAGAAAGGGTCCACAGTAGGGATCCGTTGAAATAAAAATTCTTGGCCAAAACCGAATGAAATTATTACGTTAATAATTAGATCCATAGCGTTTATGGCTATGATGTGCACTAACCTCACTAAAATCAAGGCATTGCAATAAATCCAATATAAAACTCTGAAAATATTTACTTAGCACTGACATAACAACAATGCACATTAGAAATTAAAATTCAAAAGTGAATACAAATAATAAATGATAAATGTACAGGCTTATAACTGAAAGGCCTGCTGAGAAAGAAAATTAAACATGTTCTCTAATAAAAACAAAATGTCAAGTGCCTTCTAAATTGTTCTGTGTAGGAACACTACTGTTACTGCTTTGTCACACTGAAGTCTGTTCCTCCTGTCATCGAGAACATGACCTGCAGCACTGAGGGCTCACTGTGAGTGCTTGAGCAGACAACATGGATAGCAGTGAGTAGCAGTGAGGACAAAGAGTTACAAGTGTTGCAGCTCCTCGTTTCCATAAAAATCATTTTTGTTCACAAATTTTGAAGTTCCTAAGGTATTAAAATCATAATTGCTGCTTTTTCAGACTTTGAGTATACTGCCATGCTGGATTTCTGTTAAGGTGCTTTATGTAGAAATTAAGTAAAAATTACATCCTGTGGTAAAATGTGGTAACTGCAACCACTTTAAACAACTCTGGAGGTTTTTGCTGGCCGTCATCAAATTACAATTGTTGGCGCTGCAGTATTAGCTCGCAGGAGACACAGCAGCCCCACTCTCACTGATGGTAAACAGTAATTACGTCCCTCCTTCTTTTTTTTGAAAGGAGAAAAACTGACATCCCAGCAGCCAGCTGGATATGAAATATGTTTCTGTACAACCTTCCTTTCAAAATGACTGAAACATTATACTCTTTTGGGATTTTCTCACTGTAAAGTTCTCACTATATTTTCCCATACTGCATGGTTAACTAAATGTGTGCACTGCACTGGTCTAAAGCAATCACGAGAGTCACTTCACTTCTTTCTCGTGACGCTCAAAACTAGGGATGAGCCAGATACTCGTTCCAGACGAGTATCCGGTACGGATGAAGCATTTTTTATGAATATGAGCATGAAACGAGTAAAACTCGTAAATATCTAATCGTGCTGAAGGAAAATCCTCATTGGGTAACTGACTGTCTTCACGCTCTGTGATTGGCCAGTCACATAGAGCGCCCGCCCCTCCCTACGCACAGAACTCTGCAGCCGGGAGCTCAGTCAGTCCGTCCCATCCACGCACACACAGACAGTAAGGGATCTCTCTGTGCTTGCTTCACTGTTGCTCACGTTTCTTCAGTACTCCCTAGGTTTTCTTCAGCTCGCCTCTTTTTCGGTTTAATATTTAAATTTACTTTTTCGCAACGTACGTGGTGCATTTGACAAGACAGAGCTGAAAACGGCTCGTGCTGCGTCGGTCACTGCCTCCGCACCGGCCGGATTTTCTCTCTCTCTCTCTCTCTCTCTCTCCCTCTCTCTCTCTCTCTCTCTCTCTCTCTCTCTCTCTCTCTCTCTCTCTATGTATTAATTCATGCACTTAAATATTAATGTTCTGATTTTATTGAAAAACTTGTTCTGTATTAGTTCCTTTACTATTGTGATCAAAAATATTTCATCTCAGTTCTGAGGCTGCTCTGTAAATAGTTTTCAAATAAACAATACACACAGCAACTTCTGATCAATCCATATCAATTTCAGACTTAAAATAATGTATTGATGTAAACCACACCTACTTCCGGGTTAGGCCACGCCCACTCCGAGTACAGACACAGATCATTTAGATGGTTGAACAGATACAGATACAGATAGTGGTGTACTCGCTCATCCCTACTCAAAACACACTAGTCTCGAATTAAAACAACAATCATAAATAAACAGTATTATTAAAAGGGGGAAAACTTTTACTTATGAAATCAGTACGAATGTACTATTTCTTTGAAGCAAAGAGCAAGAAGCCACATGAGGGTGGAGCGAGATGAAACGGGGTTGACCTAAAAGACTATTTCAGCCGTCTTGTTTCGGTAATTTAGGTCTTTCGGGCGAAAATGTTTTTTTTACAAAACATTTCGGTGGCCCAATTTTCCTTGCATTCCTAGTCCACAGTCCTGTGACTAACTGAAATTTGCCCAAAAAGCATGAATTATCTATGTCGTGTCTCTTTGCAATGTCGCTACAGAAATACAGAAAGAATGAGAAGAAGAATTCTTCACCTACTTCTAGTGGAAATGTCCCAAATTGTTTCTTAACTTCTATTATGCATGACTTTGTGATTTGAAATATCAAGGTTATTACTCCCAATCACAAACATCTCGATCACAGTCCTCTCTCACTCTTAAGACTACTTCTCCAACTGTGGAGGTGTGAAGACGCGAAGCGCCATTATCCGTTAGTGCAATGGCTCTCCAACAGGCATGCAAGGCTGGAAGGCACAAAGCCATATTTTTTAACTATCAGAGAGCACATGTCTATGATTGATCAGTCCAACAACAGCGCTGGACCAATGTTCCAACAATGCCGCCATCTTCTTCACTCTCGTTGAATTCTTTGTAACACAAGTTTATGTTCCTCATGATCAAGCAGTTCCAGCTCATTGAAGACATGCTCTCTGTCAGCCATTGTTCCTTGAGTAGATTGGCATTTACAAGCTTTCTTTTTTAACTTTCTGATGGAGCACAAACTAGGCTTTACCTTCATGCAGAGCACGACGAACCAGGGCCTCAAACTCAGCAAAGTTGTGCACCAGGTAGCAGTGTTGGTCTTTAGGTTGTGAGGCCATGTCGTGGAGCTCTCTGATATTCCCTTGCCAGATTCCCAGAGTAAAGATCTCAACACCTCGTTCCCTCAGAACCGCCGCCACAGGCCGAGGATCTCCACCATTGGAGTAACCATCGGTGATGAGGAAGATGACTTTAGTGGCATTACCACGGGAGTGACGAAGAATTTGCTGTAAGAAAAGATAAATAATCATGTATCAAAAAGAATGTAAATGTCTGCTGCAAGCAGAATAACACAAGCTAGTATACGCTCTAGGTATGAGCATTTTGGTGTTTCATTATGGGAGAGATTTCCCATTTTAAATAGGAATATTTTTGCCACAATCATTTGTAAATGGGGCAAAGGGGCAGGAGTAACACAAAGACATAGGTTCCGGCCTAACTCTCGTGAATTTGTTTGAAAGCCTGTGCTAAGGTGGTTTGCCCATGTAATGGTAAGGCCCGGTACACAAGGCTTGATAATTATGCAGATTTCTGACCTGATTCTCCCCTTCTGACAATCTTTAAAACACCTCCAATTACCGTAATGACTCCAGAGGTAATTTTAGCTGGTATTCCTGCTGTGTGTGTGTGTTTAAGAATCCTGTGGTTTACTTAAAAGCACGCTGGGTCTGCTTTGATCATAAACCGAGGGTAATCAAAATGTTGGATTGTCTTTCCCCGATTTCAAGGACAAATGAGAGTGCTGCCTGTTGGATTTGACTTGTCAATCATAAAGTGAGGTGACAGATGCACTGTACACAGAGTGAGGGGAATCATGCTTGTCTGCCATGTTTGTTTACTTCAAATCACAAATTATTTTGTGAGGTTTTGCGAGATTTGTCTGACTGGGGAATGTCTGTGTTTGAAATAGATTCATGTGTAGTTGTTGCAGTGTTGCCGCACATTGAACACTTACACACTGTAACATCAAAACTGGTACAACTGTGATGTTTTATGTGGTCTCCCATGTTTTGAAAACAGACAACTTTCAAATGCTGACAACCGCAAAGCTCTCCAGAGAGTAGTGCGGTGTGCAGAAAGGATTATTGGAGGTGAGCTTCCCTCCCTCCAGGACATCTACAGGAAGCGGTGCCTGAGGAAAGCGGGGAGGATCATCAAGGACTCAAGTCACCTCAGCCATAAACTGTTCAGACTACTTCCATCAGGAAGGAGGTTCTGCAGCATCCGGTCCAGAACCAGCAGACTGAGAGACAGCTTTTTCCATCAGGCCATCAGACTGCTGAACACTTCACAGACACCTCACCCTCACTACTGAAACTCCAACATTACACACTCCATACTGTACATTAATGCCACAGTTTTGCACATACCAACCTCTGTATATTTTATATCTCTTATCTTATTGTTTACTTTATTCATTTGTAAAACACGTATATACACACTATACACACACTCACACGCACACACGTAGAAAAAAAATACTAGCACACACATTTAGTAATGTATATACCTTACATACTATACATATTATTATATTATTAGCCATTTTTATATTTTGCTTGTTTTTACATTACTGTATTTTTGCACAACTCTGTTGCTGTGGAGCTCGCACACAAGAATTTCACTCGCATGTACTGTACCATTGTACCTGCACATGTGACGTGACAATAAAAGTGATTTGATTTGATTTGCTGCCTTGTGAACAGAGCCAACCTAAGCTGTGAGCTTCTGTTGCCTAAAAGTTGCAAATTTCTTGATAAGCTAAGCAAACTCAGAATATACACTGCCTGGCTAAAACCCCAAAAAGATCACACACTAATAGTTTGTTGGACTGCATTTAGCTTTGATTACAGCACACATTCACTGTGGCGTTGTTTCGATAAGCTTCTGCAAAGTTATTTCCATCCAGTGTTGCATTAATGTTTCACCACGATCTTGCATTGATAGATGATGATAGAGTCTGACCACTGCACAAAGCCTTCTGCAGCACATCCCAAAGATTCTCAATGGGGTTAAGGTCTGGACTCTGTGGTGGCCAATCCACGTGTGAAAATGATGTCTCATGCTTCCTGAACCACTCTTTCACTATTTGGTCGAGCCTCCACTTACAGAGCCTGCCATAAGTCACGGATCCACGCCTGTCTCCCGCTCCCAGCCTCTTCTGACCGACCAGCTCTCCGCCGCCCGCTGCACCCCCCTCAGGACTCCGAGGACCCCCCCCCCCCTCGAGGATCACCCTGTCCCACGCTCCTCCTGCCACTCACCTGCCAACCGGACCCTCCTCTCCTCCCTAACCCTGAACCTTGAGCACCAGGATTTGGACTAAATGAACTGAGCTAAGCTTCTAATCATCACCTACCCTTTCACGGTGCTCCTTTAGTTGGGACTAATAAATTATTGTTTGGTTTCCCACCCATCCTCCTGACTCTGAGTTGCTTCTGTATGTTTTGGGTCAGACAGTTAACACCCACCATGACAGGAATATGCCCGTGCCATCAGGGAAGATGGAATAACCTGGTCATTCAGGATATTCAGGTAGTCAGCTGACCTCATTCTTGGAACACATCCTGTTGCTGAACCTAGACCTGACCAACTGCAGCAACCCCAGATCATAGCACTGCCCCCACAGGCTTGTACAGTAGTCACTAGGCATGATGGGTGCATCACTTCGTCTGCCTCTCTTCTTACCCTGATGCACCATCACTCTGGAACAGGGTCCATCTGGACTCATCAGGCCAGTTTTAATAATGCATTCTTAACTCAATTTGATTTGTTTCTTTGTTTTTGCAATCTCCTTAAATGTTTTCTCTGCTTGATGCATGCCAATGATCTGATCCTTTTCAAACAGATGAACATCTTTTTCACGACCACCAGATGTGTCTTTCCACATGCTTGTTTAAGAAATGAGAAGCAGCTCATTGCACCAGTTGGGGTTAAATAACTTGCTGCCAGCTGAAAGATGATTGCCCATGCAGTAATTATCCAATAGGAGGCTCTGACCTTTTTGCTTAGTTAACTCATTCACTGCCATTGACGACGTTCTGTGACTCTTTAAAAAACAGTAAAAACGGTGAGAAACGCTGGCAGCGAAGGGCTTTACCGGTCAGGAAACGGTTGGCAGCGAATGAGTTAAATTCAGGTGGCCTTTTCTTTGGGGGGGGGGGGGGGGGGGGGGGGCATTGTATTTAAAAGCCACATTTTACCTTTTTACTCTGACTAATTTCACTCTGTTAAAAATTGTCATTACTTGACACTTTAAAAAAGATAGAAGAAAACATGACATTGACAGGTGTGGAAAATTTTATGTTTCAGTTTATACAGTCATGCTGACACTGTATAGGTTGTAAAGTTTGACCATTCAAACACACATCCCACACATTGCTTGGCATGCCTGCATGCTACCAACATAACTCCAGCTTTGGTGACATATTTCAATAGAAAACTGAAGAACGTCACACATGACCACTAACAGCAGCCCGTATTTCTACGGTTCCTAGAAACCCAACATCAGCATGGAAGTCAAAAAGAGCAGGCTGGGAGGAAGGGACAGAAAAGGGGAGAAAGCTCAACAATTGTAATTATTTCTCCTACAGACCATGCTGCTGCTTGCCAGTGGTCTGAAACCACTCGTGAAAGCTGCTGCGTCTACCCCAGACACCAGCTACAGTTCTCAAACTATCTTTAGCCAGCGTTTACAATCCACCACATACAATTTGAAAGGACATTAAAGTCAGAGAAACATGTCTTTATTTTCTTCTAAAGTCAAGAAAATCCAGCATGGCCATCTGCTAGCTTCCCTATGGAGTTAAAAGGTTCTTAGTTTGTGCTAATGGTGCTTTAAATGAGGATAAGATGACATGGAGAGAAAAACCAAGGCAACAAAGAGAAGCAATAAGAGAGAGAGAGAGACAACGACAGAATGAAAAATATCAAACAAGCAAAAAGAGCCAAGGTCAGACATCCACTTACTGACTATCTTGAAAGCTTTGGCCATGGTGTGCCATAAAGAGATCTAACTAAAACTAAAAAAGGTGTCGGTGAAAAGTTTTGACTTTATTCCAAATCCTGTGCAGACATAATCACTTGACATGACGAAATTTTAGAGGTGAAGAAAGGGAAGACATGCAAGGGTGTGACCACAGAAGAAGGAAAGCTCTGGTCTTTATTGTCCAATTGGCTGAACTTATAGCAGATTTGGCAGGAGCACAGAGGAGAGATGAGAAGAAAAAGAACTATGAGCGACACTGGTTTCTCTGATTCTGTCTAAAACTCCAGGGTTGTTGCGCTGGCTTTCAGTGTTGATTAATATTAATGAAAGTGTCTTAATCCTTTGACATATTTTATTAGGCGTCTCCTAGAGAGAGTGGTGGTGGGTCACGGTGGTTTTCTGTGTTAGCTTCGAGTCAGTGACTGCTGTAAGAGGCTGTGGAGATGCCACCAAATGGAGCACGCTCATGTATTCCCACTAATAATAGCCTCGGCATATTTCAGGTCAGAGTATTAACATAAAGAGGACCACAGATACCAGCCCGTGGGAAGGCGCTGCCCTTTACAGAAACTCAGCATGCAGCTTATCATCTATGACACAAAAGAAGGGAGAGCAAATCATAGATCTAATAATGGTGGCAGCTGCATGAAATATATTCTGATATTATCTGAAAATATTAATGATTTTTTTTAAACAGATAAAGAAATACAAAAAACACCCAATGGATAGCGTCATAAATATTTAGAACACAAATGTATGCTGCAGCTGGTTTTACTCACAGATAGAAAGTATGAGATGAAAGGAAACTAAATTATAAATGTAGCACCATACAAAAAATGTGAACATTGGACAGAAGGTTAAAAATGAAACAAAAAATACAATCTTCTAATATTTTACTGGCAAAATTAAGTATTTTATTGTTTGGTTAAACTTTCAAACATAAACCCTCTAAACTAATAGCACACTTCATTGATCTATTGGGTTTCAGCTACTATAGCCACTTGTATCATGTTTTAGAGATTCTTCTAATATCTATACATCATTTTCGGACTAATCTATATACTTTCCTTCAACTGCACACTTGGCAGATGCTTCAATGTACAGTTTAGGTCCAAGGATGACATAATGACTAGGCAGCAACAGGACAGCTGAAGTTTATCTGGTTCAGGGCCAGTGACATCTATCAAAGATGTGGTGACAGTGCTGAGACCAGCAGACCTCCAGGGAATATTGGGAGGT